CTTCCGAGCCTCCTTGGTCTTGGACCGGCGCGCTTCTGCCTGGTCGCTGCGGGAAGGTACAGGAGTCGGTGAACGTGCTGGGATGGCCCCAACCGGCTTCCGACGCCTCTCATCCCGGTTGCTCCAGGGCTGCGTCCCAGTGCAGCTCCGGCATTCCCCGAGGGCCGCTCCCCGCCCGGCCCTGCCAGGCTCTAGTTGCCAGCCGAGGGGCTGCGATCCCGGCTTTTCCCATCCCAGGATTGTGAAATCTATTGGTTCTCCCGCATCCTCACCCCCACCACCAATACAGCCTGGTCCAGCCACCGGGATCAGTAAATTCCCAGCTAACGCACGCGGCTCCGTGTGATCACAGAGTTCCCTGCTTGAGGCCGGAATCCTCTCCGGGCAGAGCCACCAGTGACAGCAGCCACCTGGAATTACCCGTCCGCTCAGCCCCACGACCTGCAGAAGGGCAGCAGAGCACTTACGCCAAGAGCTTCTTCCGAGCCTTATCCGCCTTGAGCTTGTGGATGTGCTCCATCAGGATCCGCTTGTTCTTGAAGACATTACCCTTCACCTTCAGGTACAGGCTGTGGTACCTACGTGGAGCAGACCGGAAGCGTGAGCACGGCCTGCCCCGGGAGACGAAACCGCCGCCCAGCTTCCAAACACCCGGCAAGCTGTTGGCGCGACTCCGGAGCCAGGATTCCCGAGGGGATTTGTTTTCCCACCCCCCCATCTGCACGCCAGGCTTACATGTGGCGGTCAATCTTCTTGGACTCCCTGTATCTGCGGAGCAGGCGCCTCAGAATCCGCATCCTCCTCATCCAGGTCACCTTCTCCGGCATCCGAGCATTGGCCGTACCCTTTCTCTTACCTGGAGAGGGAAAACAGGGTGAAAGCAACGCCCAAACTCCTGCAAGTCGGACGAGGCACTTCTGCTGGAGCGTTTGATCCTCCTCTTTACTTCAAGAGGGGAACTATTGACCTAAAACGGCGGGTTTTTAGGCTCTCGGAGCTCATCGCTCCGTGTGAGCCTGGGGACGGGCCGCGCGCAGCAGAAAAGCCGATTTCTGGGAGGCAGCGCTTACCGATGCCCATGTGCCTGCCCTTCCGGCGGGCCAAGGTGTTCTTCCGGCATCGGGCGCGGGAGTGAACGGTCACGGGTTTGCGGATGATCAGCCCATCCTTGATCAACTTCCTGATCTGCTGACCTGCGGAAAGAAACTCCGTCTTCAACATCTCTCCAGGCTCCCACCTGGCTCGGACGGAAAGGATCTGGCGCCGAGGCCGGGCCAGTCCTTCCCCCAACGCCTGGTCACGCTGCTGGAATCGTTAGGATTAGGGTTAGTCTGTCTCCTCTCCCAAGGGGTGACGCCACGCGCTAAACCCGCTCCCGAGGACCCACCCGGCGCCGCCTCCTTGCCGTCAACCATTCCCACGGCCCAGAGCGG